ATATATATATCAAAATTAAATATAATATATATTATCGCGCTTTTTATAAACGAACGAGTAGATAATTCTCTATATCCACTAAAGTTTCAAAATTGAAATTGATTGAAATTTAATTAATTTTTTAAAATTATATCTTATTTGTCTGATGTAAAATGGAAATAATCAGAAGTTGGGAGGGCGAGCGAGAGAAAATCTCCTCGGCAACAAAAGCTCCAGCATCCGGTGCGGAGCTGCTCGACAGAGCTGTTCGTGATTCGTTAGGCATCGATCGGTGGGGGAAGCAAAGATAGACGGTGAGAACAGACTTTACGAACGCGCGACGTTCAATGTGTCGGTAGGACGTTGAAGCGTGTGGGTAAGTTAGAGGGAGAGCCCTGGCAAGCGGGTGCGTGCGCACGTTTCTGCGCGCACCCCCAAACACCGCTTAGTGACAATTGGTCGAGGGTGTACTATGCGTACGGTGTCGAGAGGACGAGGTGTATGTTCGTGTAAATCGTGCGAAACGTTGTCAAAATCGTGAATTTCCTCGCGAGAAAATCGACCGCGGTGAAAGGACTCGGAACGAGCTGGCCTCTTCTTTGTGAAGTGCCTTTTGTTGTGAACGCTGGAGGGGTAGACTTTCTTTCATGCATCCGCGATCGTCGCCGCTGTTGAAAGCGGCAAAAGGGTGAGTGGCTGAGAAGAGGGGGAAAGGAAAGTAGCGCCAGGCGGACATGAGGCGCGCGCGTTTCCCGCGCGATGCACGTGAGTACAGTACGAAGTGAGGCGAGTGACAACACGAACGGGGAAACGTCAAGTGCCGCGCGACGAAACTGCGTTCGCCGCACTTCACGACGTATATCGGTATATACGTCGACGCGATTTCGGAAAAACGGCGACTATAGCGGAATGACATTCGTGCGATTCGACCTGATGAAAGATCTTCGAGCGAGACGATGACGCGTTACGAGGACGCACTCTTCGTTCCCTTATCCCGCGTGGCGTAAACAGATTCGCGAGTGTTGTGATGAGCTGAAAATTTAAAACAGCTCCGTTTCGTGTGTCATTAAATATGTGCCGGTCGTTGTTCGTTGATTTATCAGTGATTTACTTATCGCGTTAAAGTACATCGTTTCACACGATCGAGATTTAATGTGTTAGACCTTAAAAGAGTCCGTAAATACGTGTTTATATACCTGCCTCAGTGGACATTAGCAGAAGCGTGATTATCTTATCTATACGGTAAACGGAAGGCGAAAGTGAAGTGATCCATTTAGAAAAGATTACCGAAGTTAATAGACCAGGATAATAGCTGTTTATTTGCTAATAGGTTTGTACAAATAAAGTTTAAATGTAATATGTACTCTACATTTTTTTGGAGTAGAATCTCATCCTTAAAAATGAAAATTGAGTTAGTCTTGAAAAAGAGTGGCTTAGTTTTCAATCTTTGAGAGTAAGATTTTATTCTAAAAACTTTAGAGGGTAATTTAATGTAATATAATGTTTGTTTAATTTATACAGAAGCCTACAATTTTGCTATTCGATGGTGGTTTGAGTATTGTTCAATATGTCACTTTGAATGTACCGTTCATGTGACATTCAGTAGAAGGCGAGATAGTCCGTACCGGAAATCCAAGAGTCCAAATTTGCCAGAAGAAGTCTTTAAAGTCAGTTAAATGAACGACGTCCTTAGCATGATGGAGGACATCGACAGCATGCACGTCGTCAAGACGCCATGCATCTCCATCAACAGCATCTCTCATGACAGTGCCGACAGCGGCTATCTGTCCATTATAACACCTCAAACCAGCGGCTGTACCCCAAAGATAGCTGGTTATCGCACGCGTTCGTCTACCGGCGCATTGTTCTCCACCAAGAAGCATAGATATCGTCCGGATCCCTTCTTGTGCGAAAAGGTACTGAGGCATCGCTCCAAATTCAATTATCGTCTAAACACCTCCGAGTTCCACAATACTCTGGATTATCTCGTATCTGAGAAGTCCGTCGAACAGGACTCTGTATTGGAACCGTCGTGCACGCACGATAACCAGAATCTCAGTTTGGTGCATTCTACCCCAAGCTGTGCAAACAATGAATTCGACAGGCCGCTCAGGAACAGGAGGAATTGGAGGACCACGGTGCCTGTCACCCCCGCGTCCACGGATTTCCAAATCCTCTCTCCACCCCCGTCACCGGCGGTACCCTCTTCATCTGACGTAGCCTCGGAGCCCATCCTGGAGGATGCGGAAATGAAGCTAGTCTATACGCCACATGGTAAATCGCAACAGGTCAGGACGCCGCCGAAACTCAAAGTTTTGATCCCGCGAGTTGTGATCTCACCGATTCATATGAGAAACAGTCCCATCATAACGTCAGCGGATAATCGTAAGTTGCGCGAACTGCGTATCACGGATTTGGCTGCCTCATCCGAGATTAAGCCCAAGAAGCTGGACTTCAGCCATCGCGGTCTATGTGTGTCGCTGCGGAATAGCCGAAGATTTACTTTTGACTATACGGGAAGAGAGAAAGTGGATTTCCTATCTCTTCTTGGAGAAGAAAGCAACCATTTGAATCTAGTGTCGAAAATCTTATCTTTTCTCACGTCTCAAGATCTGTGCTCGGTCAGTATGGTATCCAGAGTGTGGAGGAAGATCTGCAAAAGTGATTCGTGTGCCAATAAACGAAAAATGAGTTTTATCATGCGTAAGAACACCATCAAGGAGAACTTGTGGCTGTTCGCAATGGCGAAGAAGGCGAAGCGTGAAGAGGATATACAGACGAGCCCTAAGAGCAGACGTTATGTTCGGAAAGGATACTTGCTGGATGTACAGAATTTGCTGCAGGTTCCAGTACAGCCAAATAGTCCACCTGTATCACCGAGCAAAATTAAATTTCATTCCTTCGTCAAGGTAAATCATTTCAATTAATTTCTTATACCATATACTTGAGTATATTATAAAATGAAATGAGACAAATCATGACTAATTTTTTTACTGTAGTACTTCATGTCCAAGTCATGTCTTAACACCCCCCGGAGCTGATGGTGGATTTTATCTGTTGGATCCACTCAATTATAATGTAAATCTCTTTGTCACAAATGTCTAACGATTCAATTTTCTTTACATCTGCAAATTGGATTACTTTTACATTTTTTTATGAATTATATTTTATACTAGTTTGTGTGGTTCCTTGAAATTAATTAATGCCTTTAACCCTCTGCAATCATATTTATACTCTCTTCGTTTAGTTCCATTTTTTTATTCTTCTAGGTTTTCAAAAAATATAAAAATATTCAGTTACTTTTCAACATTTCTATTACAAGTAGTTTTTTAACAAGAATTTTAGGAGAAAGAAAATTAGAAAATTTGAGAATAAAATTTTGCTTGTACTAAAAATTACGCAGGTTGCAGACGTAGAATTAATTAATAAAAATTATATAGGGATCTTACAAATCTAGCGTTAGTAAGTGTCTGTCTTACAGAGTTTAGCGTCAGCTTCGGGGGTTTAATAAGAATGTTATTTTATTTTCGAAGAATTATATAGCGATTCATATATATTTGAATATCTATGTATATATTTGAATATTAAAATTACGATGTTAACTTTGAAGGAATCAAATGATCGAAATTTATCGGTAAAAATGCATTCGTGAGAAAACTCACAACAAAGTCAATGACTGATGCGAAATGTTGCAGCTTTCGAAGAATTTGCGTACGCTACATTTCTCAGGGTTCTCGTATTCGACACCCGCGAGAATCTGTAATAATGCATGTTGCATTTCGCCGAGAGTCGTATTCATCTCGTTTATCTCATAACAGTCAGATAATTCGGTATGTCGGTGTCTAACAAGACACGGGCATTTCTTTGATGCGATACTTATATATCTTTCACCCTAATTGAATAATGATAATCTACAATGGCCTATAATATGCAAACAGAAAAATGATTATGTTTCGTTGAGAATCGCATTCAGCCAATTTTGACATTACGTTTAGCAGTTTTTGATCTAGATATAACATACCGAGAATTATAATTTGCCAATTTGAATGCGATTATCTCTATTTATCGAAAGTGAACACAGCACTTTTAACATTTACATTTTTTTGAGAGATTAACATGTTTATCCTTACTCTTTTATCTACACATAGCTTTTTGCTGAAGTATAGAAAAATATGAGAGGAAAAATATTAAAAATATTATCAATTTTTTTAATAGACTGAATATATTTCATTGAATAGATTTCATTGAATATATTTTACATACATCGATCTTTAATGCAATATTATGAAAACTAATGAAAATATATGTGCAGCATTTTTAAAGCTAATTCAATGTATGATAATATTGTGCATTAAACTATAATTACGATGTAATTATTATCTTAAACATTTAAACAGTTCCTTATAATTTAATTTGATTTCACATTATGTTTTTACAAACTATTGATGTTTCATTGCTACACACGATGCATTCAAAATCAAGCAGGCAATGCGCGATATTTAGTTGCGGCAGCCAATACAATTTATTATTCATTATTTTGTAAATATTATTCATTATTTTCATAATATGCATATAATTATAATAATCGACCTTTCCACACACAATCGATCGTACTGTTAAAGTCTGTTACACTGCTAAGAGCACACAGCATCGTGATTTAAATGTGGCCTCAGGGTAAGATGATAGACAAAGTCGGTCGATTGTTGAGTCAATTGAGTTGTTTATGAAAATCAATTAAAATTGTTATACTTATGTGCGCGGTTACACATATTGGCAAGGACTTTCCATAAACGACTATAAATCACAATAGGTGTAGTGAGCTTGAAACCGTAAAAAGTCACCCAATTATAGTTGATTATTCTTCTCATATTTGACTGTGATTGGCTAATATCTTACGGCTTAAACCTTACACCTGTTATGTTTCAAGACTAAACTACATAACAGTCGACTAACACTTTGTTTATTGTGTGCTTTTGCCCTTGCACATTACGTCAGGTATGTCGAAACCCATAATTAAGGATGCTGGCTCGTTTCTCTTTGTTCGTAGATTGTTCTTCGTCGTTTTGGCGCTCGTAATTCTCACGAGAACAGAAACACGACGGCTAATTACCAGGCGATAATCGATAGCCCGGTAGTCTCAAGATTTCTTCGACTAAATTGGCATTCGCATAGTTCGCGCGCACAAAATCGAATCGCGGTCGGGTAATTGTTTCGATTGTGAGATCATTACTTTGACGTTGATTTATTGTCGTTTTGGCTTTGAGCCGCCGCGAAGGATAATTGCTTCGTGGGTCGTTAAGGCTCGAGATAAGCGAGAGACCCGTCGACGGTGTGCAAAATTTGACGGATGTTTCTCAATGATGAGATTCTATGTGTTTTGCATAATTTTATCTCGTACATAGCAATTGAAATCCATCTCGATATTCGCAGTTACGTTTCAGTGCAATCAGAAATTGTTGTATTTAATTAGTCATGTATTTTATATAATTCAGAATCGGGACACTATACTATATATTGGGACACTATTGATAACGTACACTTGTAACATTGTTATTATTAGATATAATTATTTTCTTTTTTTTTTTTAGTAACAAGGGTTTTTTTGAGTAACGAGGTTACATTTGTAATGGTGATGCAGTTAGATTCTTGAGTAACGACAGCGAATAAATATTACTTTCATCGTTAATTTCTATACACACAAGACATATGTATTACATATAAGTGTGTTTTTTTGCTATATAGCAATTAATCATAGCCAGTATAAATCTCGTGTTGAACTAGTTAATTTACAACATAGATAATTGGATGCCATTTTAAAAAAAAGGTTATGTAAAAATGTAATTATTTTTTTATGTAATTGTGCTAACAAACTAAATAACACAATATCTAATTCTTAAACTTGATATAATGGACAATAAAAAATTCCCTTTTCTAAACAAATCATGAAAAAAAAATCAATTTATATTTTTTATGTATATATATTACGCATTAATATATTGAAGAAATCATAAAATATATAGGTTACCAGAGTGATGATATAAACGTTTACTTCATATTCTAGATCTAAGAATTTTCTCGTAAAACATGAATGATTCTCCAAGGAATTACGACATGCGCTCTAACTTTATGTAACATTTATAAATATTTTACGGTATATTGTGTCATTTCCGCACAAATAGCTTCTATTACATTGCCGCGGTTCCGTTGGACGTCCATAAACTTGAACGCGAACTTCAAGCAAAGCGGTGAAGCAAACGCGATGATTTACTCGCGGAAATCAGTCAGACGATGGCGTGAAGAATCTGTGACAGTGATGTACGTGCTTTCTCGTTCTCGTCGTCGACGGGGTTACCTGCCGTTCCCCGACACTACTCTCTCTTTCTTTCTCTTGTCGAACGAGCGATGCATTCCTCCTCGCGTTAGATTGTAATAGCGGATGCAAGTGGCATACCTCAAGCTCTTTTGTTGCCCGCGCGAAACGATAGCGAGGCATGTGTTCGCGCTCATGTCAAAGCCAATGCCGACTATACATTCGTATTGCTATTCTTTATCACTGTGAAATACACGATAACGATGAAACGCGTATTGTCGCATGTATATTGCATCTAACTCGTGAGATAATAGATTACGAAAGCTCGTTACCGAACAAATATTAAAATGAATGTATAGCTTTAAAATAATCACCTTAAAACATCATAAATATGATATTTAAATCGTCAAAAAATTAAGTTCTAAAATTTCATCAATGAACTATCGTTAAAAGTAATATAAATGCATCATCGGATTTGCATTTGAAATCTTTTTCATATATAATATTAGATTGTAAATGGCTGAAACCATAAATTTTTTATTTTATTTTTCCGGCTCACTATTAGTTAAGTAATATGTCATATCAAAGAAGAAAACATCAATGATTGAGTTTTTAAGAAATCGCGTGGGAAGATGACAAAAGAAATGGCGATTTAAAAGGTATAGTTGGATCGTAAATAAATTCGGATCGCGACGCGTTGCAAAGAAAAATCGACGTTAACGTTCGCAAACGAATGCAATGTTGTGTTTTAATGCTCTCTACCAAAATCGAGTCTGGCAGATAATATATCAGAGCGAGGTCCCCGTCTCTCCTTGTGCACATCCAGAGAGAATCGCGCCAGCGCTCGTTTCTTCTTTGGATCGCGAATCGGCCTGCGGCAAAAACCGGCCACAGAGAGAACAATGCGAATATATTGTGGTACCTGACACACTAAAACAAAGGGCGGGCAGAGCCCTTTAGTCTTTTACGACAATTGTACGAGAATGCCAAACCACAAGTGTGCAGTGCGAATAAAAAAAAAATGACGAGACGTCTGAACCGCAAAAGAATTATTAAAGAATTATTCTGCTATGCAGAAAGAAAAATATTAACTATCACTTGCATACAGTGCCGTTAAATTTGGAATTTTATATAGAATGCTATATCTATAGATTATATTTTAACGGCTAATCTTTTGTTTCATTTAAATGTATCTTTAAATTTTTTTTTTAAATAATACGATGAATTTTTTTAAAGGAAATTGTATTGTTATGATATTAGGTTTCCAGTAGATTTGCGAGTAAGGAAATCTGATCGATCTCTCACGTTTCTCTGATGATTTTGGCGCTCTTAGCTTCTCAGATAGCCTTGCGGGATGCCATAGAAAGTTCTTGGTGAGATACAGTACGATCGTTCATGAGAATGAATGTGCGAACATCCTTCCCTTGATCGTTTCTGTCAGCGATGCATTACTACATGTAACGCATGCACGCATGACTAAAACCATGGTAAAGTCGACAGTTACTCATTCAATCTCGTTAAAACAAAAACATTTATCTTTGGAAATTTAAATACTTTCTTTTAATTTATATTTAATGAATGCTATGAATTATAAATGTCACTCTTTATTTTTAATAAAAAATGCTCTATATTGTAAAAATATAATACAGATTGAAGGGGGCTACTTTCGAGTCAGCGCGGTAAGAAGTGCGTAATCTACATTTATATAATCATTAATAGTACAATGTGTATTAAAAGATGTTAGTTTAAACGTTTCGGTTATCGGTTTTAGCCATTTTCAGCAAATATATAAATAATACATTAACAAAGAATATCTTCTATCCAATCGGAAAATAACAAAAGCACAAACATCGTTAAAAGAAGTTGCCTGTCTTCTTAACAAGTGATTACGTTCTCAATGTTATTAATACTCTATATCTTTTTAAAAGTATCTGAAATTGAGTTGTCGAAATTTTTAACCCTCTTGAGCAAAAAGATAACGCTGTGCTTCCGATTTTATAATAACGCCCGTTTTTTTATCATGATTGTGGAAATTAATTTCACGACAAACCGGACGAAGATATTCCTGTAAAGAGGAAGGAAGAAATTGTTCCTTATAATTAGCAACGGCTGCACGGAGTCCGTTGAGTGGCCGTCTAACGTTGTCGAGCGCAGGTCTGGGGTGCGGGTGTTTCCTGTGAAAAGGAAGACTCCTTGTGCAGTCCCTTTTTCCGGTGGGTACCTTGACAATTTCACAGGGGACGCACTAGAATCCGGTCGAGCGAGTCTTTCGTCTCGGGTTTAGAAAAAGACGAATTTACACGAGGATTTGTTTTTAAGTTTCGTGTAATTTTTTATCTCACCACCGAAAAAATCGGTATATTAGTCTTTACACAGAGGTTTTCATGGAATTTTAAAAAACACATTAAAAATATAAAAAAATAATTTCAAAAGTACTCGGTAATAATTTTTTCTCTCAAGAACAAGCAAAATTTTCTGTAAGATATTACCATGTATTATATCCATAAGATAGGACGTTGTAAATTATTGACGATGTTTTTTTACAAATAACCAACAATACTTATAATACTGTTTTCATACTTAGCTTTATTGATTGTCTCGTTTCTCAAATAATTAATTCATTCAATATTGAAGTAGCAAACTTGTATATAAGCGAGATAAAGTTGCGAGTGCGAAAAAGGAAGAACATTCCGTCAGCTCGTTTATTATTATTTTGCGTTTTATTTTCCTACTCAACGGTCTCCGTGCTAGTATCGTCATATGTTCATATTGACCCATTGCTATGTAGCACCTGGCCAGGTGCATCAGGTCTCGATCAGGAGCTCTCTTTCCTTCTCACTGCGTGCTTCTTGAAGCGTAAAGCAGTCCGATACAACGGACAGCAGAGAAACCGTTTTTACATGAAGTAAAATAGTACGAGCGAGTAAACCACGCGTGCCGTCACTGCGTGAAATATGCATGGCACACGACAATTCCCGACTCATTTGCATTGTTAATTTCAAGCTAATTTTGGTAACACTTTATTGTGAGAAAATTAATATTTCGGAATCGACGACCTATAATTCATTTTAAGATTAATTATTAAATTCTTTTCATATTTTTAACAGATCTTATCCTGTTTCTCTCCATCTGAAAAATTGAGAAAGGATAATGTATGACTGTAGAGAAATATTACATAATCCTATATATGAAATCTATATTTTATATTAATTCTTAGACACTCTGCTTTTAAAAATATAATAAAATTAATTTAACATGAATTAAATTATTAAATATAAATTATTAAAAATAAATAATATTTTGTTTAAATTGCATAAGACAATAAAAAAATTTAAATTTTGTGGAGTGTTAAACTCTGTTCGTAGAATATTCTTTGTAGAATCTGAAGGATATCTCCCGAGAACACGGGTTCGCCATGCATCTTTGTGTTTCGATACGAACTCGGGGTCGATCGATAGTTATCAGTATTGCGATTTCTCCTCTTTTCACCCTTCCAATTCTCTCTCTCTCTCTTTCTCTCTCTCTCTCTCGCATGCGATCCCACGATGGTTCGCTCGTCGTCTTGGTAAAAAGACCAGGAATGTCTCGATAGCCCCCGATAAATGCATTAATCGAATGCCCATCTCAATCCTCTACTTTTCGATCCTCTAATAATCTCTCTTAAGGGTGCCATCTAACTTTTGCAAATTGTAGAGTGCATATATATTCCAAGAAACTTCTACTTATTTTAAACATTAACAACCATTTGAGAAAACGTTCGAATAAATTTAATAAAATATTCAGTATATTTTTATTGATCAATTTGCATTAAAGTAAAAATGTATAAAATATATTGTATATTATAATTATTTTAATTTTTTAAAATAGGATTATATTTTAATTTTATTTAAAATCTGTTTATAATAATATTTATGCAAATATAATAATTTTATTAAGAATAAAATAAAAAAAACTGCTATAAAATATAACAATGTTCTAGATTGCCAAATTTATAAATTAAAGATTGCAATAATTTACAATGATTACAATTTGATAAATATTCTTATCAGATTTTTAATGATGAAGATTGTGCGTCGTGGTAAAATTGCTTGGTTCGCATAAGTGCTTATTTTCCGTGTTTTAATATAACAAGAAAAAAAAAACGCGAAGGGTATCGTATATCCTCCCAAAGACGAGAGCAAACTTATTATTACACGAACTCTTGGTCCTGCAATCTTCTCGAAGCCGTGCTCGTAGTAGAAAGAATGAGCTCATGATTCGATTCCTCGATAAACGCTTTAAATTGCACGTTGGATCATACCGCTACATATCTACATGTCTTGCATGCAAAAAATTTTGTAAAGAATAACTCGCTATATATTATACGGATGCGAATCAATGATATCTGTTGAATATATTAATATCTACTTTAATTCCGAAGCATCGACATTTTAATCTGTGCTGCATGATCGATAACAGACTTGTTTTTTCATTAGCAAAAGTTGTGCTGTTATGTAAAATAAATTAATAAACTAAAGCATTGAAATAATTTTAATGGATATTAACAATTAGAGCATTTAGAACTTAGTCTATTAGTTCTAGATAAGTTTTTCGATATAAAGATAGATAGATTATGTGTCGGAACTTTGCATACACAGCTGTTGCTGACGTAATCCTTTTCTTCAGATCATTAATCTGCACGGATATGCAGGTAGTGACGTTAAAATGTCTCAGCATGCGACCCTTCATAAGAAGGTAAGGTGCATATCGTCCCGTAACTCTTTTTCCTTTGAGGAAGAAAACAACCGATTATTAACGTCTAGGAGGACAATGGCGCAAATATTAACTGATTCCGCACATAAGTAGTTTGGAGAAGTAAATAGACAAAAAAACGAGAGGATGATTCGAAAAATTTATGGAAGACTATCATTTGTCAAAATAAAATAAGGACTTTAAAAAATGAAAATGAAAAATCGAAGTTGCTTAAAACGCAGCTGCAAGATTTTTACAGAATTAAATCGGGAAACATTTCATTCGTATTTCTGTTGTATAAAATCGGCTAGAGAAAATCTCAATGTGTTTGGATCGAGGGATATTGAACAGCTGGCGAAGATACGTATATATTATAGTTTCGAAAAAACCTGGATATCTTATACATAATTCGTAGTCAGCAAGAATGTGGTAGACGTGCATGGGGTAGCTATAACTTTTCGTAGGAATATACCTACGTGTCAAGTAGTCAAGCTGACGAGAGAAAAAGAAAATTTCGAATTTTTGTGAAAGAAGGATTACAACAAGCGAATTCTCTTCATCATGTCCATTCTTTCTCTTGCACATGTACTACGATTGTGCTCGGTCACGTTTTTGTAACATATGGTTTACTGAATTGTTTGCTCGATGCGTGGCACAGACTGCTCGATACGTGACAAGACGATAGGTGAGGCAATGTAGAAGAAAGATTGGGACTAGTCATAATAAATCACTGCTAATGCAAAAAGAAAAATTGAAGAAAATTTATAGAAAAATATTTTTGATTTTGCAAAAAGATCGTAAAACAAAAATATAAAAAAGACCAAGATTTGCGATTCTTGTTAGTAAATAATTTATATGTTCTATTAATATAGATATTTCGAAATTAAAATATATAGCACATATATTGATAAAAGTTTGGATGAAACAAATTAATTACAGATAATTTTAGAACACTAATAATGGTGATAAAAATTAATACATCACGTTGCGTTATTCATTATGTTTAATTTTAATCTTTTATTGTGCATATGTTAGCAGAGACTTTGTCATTTATTATATCAGTCGTTCCGATATGATCGTTCATTCGGCGAATGTAACGAATCGATATACGCATGTCAGAATACAATTGTACTGCAAGGCGGCGGCATTCGCGTGCGTGAATACAAAGCAGACTACATGAACGCGTCTCATTTTTTACATGTCGAATTTCATTGTCACTTACTCGATTCGTCATCCGTCTTGCACAAACGAGCACCGTCCATTGTGCGTGTGGGCTTTGTATTACACGAAGAATTATCGTCTTTTTAGTCTGTATGAATCCGACTATGATATTTGTCGCTTGAAATCGATATTGAAATTGTGTGGAACTCTCAGTAATGCAGCATCTTTAATTAAATTGAGTGTTGAGTATTGGATGTTAAATTATCACTAATAAATTTGCAGTGGATAATATTTTTGTTTATTAAATCTCTGATTTTTTCGAGTTTCTTTATAAATTCTTTAATTAAAAGTAACGAATAGTATTCAATTTCATGGTTTTTTTTATTCCAGCTTTCTTTTCCCTTTGCATTTTTTCAAAACGAAGAGGCATTTCTTTGGAATATAATATTGTTCGAACAAGTAATTAATCAGGACTTCTTCTTACAATATCTTTTCACATTTCAATATCCCTTCTTAACTTCAAATTCTTTCCTGTTCTTCTCAAATTCATCCTGAAATATAAATAACACGACACATTTTATTCTTTTAAGTGCATTCTTATGCATACGCACTGTTTACTGCAGTGTGTTAATATGCAAAGTGACGAAGAATTGTTCAAACAAAGTTTGATACGAATGAAGATCGATCTTCGATAAGTATTACATAATTGCAATCTTTGATAAGTATTGCATAATTATAATTTACGATAATGTTAATACAATTTTTTGATAAATTTTAACATTTAATTTATCGATATATAAATTCTAACATTTAAATTTAATTTATCGATATATCTAGTATAAATACATAAAAACGTTAATAAATTGTGAAATACGTGTCTATATAGAGATTTCAGATAAATAATAATTTTACAACTCTCGTAAAATATATTTAGTAGTTCATGGAAAATAAGAGTAATCCATAGTCTAATTTTTTTCTAATTATGTTTTTTATTTAATATTGTCTCACGGACAATATTATATTTTAAGGGAAATAATATTGATAATAAATTTATAAATACATATTTGTAGGGATTGGCGTTTTAAAATTTTTCAAAATAGAGAAAATATTTCTTCACATGTATTGATTAGAGAACAATTTCTTATTCATATTTACCGATACATTTATAATGTATTTTTACTATGTCCGTACAAGGAAACTTGTTTCATGAATTTATTAAAATTGTAAAATACGTATCTTGTAAAAATTCTCTTTCTTCTCGTATACCTGATCAAGCAAAAAGGACTTTCGCAGAAACTGCTCGAATGTCGTTACTAACAAGTTCTTTTCGAACGTTCTTCTTCTTATATTTTTATTTGATTTAAAAGCAGATCATCTCAAAAAATGCAATAAAAAAGAATAATATATATCACAGTCGTATTTTTCGATTAAATTATTCAAATTGTTATATAGCATAATTTTTCTTCTATTAACAAAATTTCCATTCCATATCTTTATTTTCGTTGTAATTAAAAAACAGCTCTAAGATCGTTAATTACATAACTGGTAGACAATTTTCAAATGAAAAAAAAATTTTTTCTATAATTTTCCAGAATTAAATCATATTTTATTATATTTCGATATTTATTGTTCTGATTTATAGATACGCTCGTCAAAACAAGCATACAGAACTAGTAGACAACTAATTTCCTCTTCGTTTAATTCCTCGAAGCATGATTACGAAAGCAGTCGACACATTTCTAATGTGTTGATCGATAAAAAAAACATGGTTATGAAACTAAGGAGACAATTTCTGAATGGAAAAAGTGTTGCAGCGGCAAATCTCATCGTTCTGTTGCTTCCGGTGGAGATATGAATTGAAAGAAACGTTTTAATCTCTTCAGAATTTTATCTCACATAGTAACAACTGAACCGCATGTGCTTGTTGTCACCGAAACTCTTTAACCCTTCCGTTACCCCTTTAAACCTTCCGGACAGATAACATGTCATAGTAACTGTAATCTTAAAGCTACAAAAATTTATTGCACTGTGTAGTGAATAAAAGTAACTCACTGTTTCCTGTTTGGACTGTCTCAATTTCTGAAAACTGTCAAGTTGAAATTACTTAAATATTTGGGAACATTCTGCACTTTATACTGTTAAATTTATAATGTTAAATTATATTTAATTAGAGTTATTTTTAATCATCTCTAGGTCACCATTGCTCTTGTTCAACATATCATTAATTAAACTAAAATAAATTTATGAAGTTAAATAATTTAACTCAAAATTTATTAAATTTGACTTAAATTTAGTTTATTTACTATTATTTATTAAGTGCATACATTAATATAGATGTTGTTTATTTTGAAATCCCAGAAATAGATTGATTTACCTACATCAATATGGAAGTTAAACATAACAAATAAAACTCAAGAGATGGAGTTTAATAAAAGTGCTTCTTCTAATAATTAATTTTTTTTATATATCCCCAAAAAATTGCTTAGCTCTCTCTTTAAAAAAACCTGGAAAATATAGACAGTGAAGAAAAAATATGAAATATAATTATAAATATAATTATAAATTATAAATAGCAAAATATATAAAAATTCGGAGATTGCTTAAAATATTATTCTTTATTAAAAAGATAAAAATTTATGAACGGTTTTATCTATCCAATAGAAAATTTCAAGATTATAAGTTTCATGAATGTGCGCGCGCGCGCGCGTGTGGTGTGTGTGTGTGAAATACATATATACATTTTACAAGAAATGTGTCATTTATCTTTTACACATTTACATCCCACATTCATTTAAAACTTTTTTCTTATTTATTTTACGTATACTAAATTTATAATAACAAAGAATGATTTTAAAAAATTCGGTGCGATATTAAAAACCTTAAGAAAATTTGCAACGACCTCTTTGCGAAGAGAAATGTGTCTTACAATTTCCTCGGGATTTTCTTTCAACTCAGATTCAATTATGTTTGGTGCGGGCAGATCACGAGTGAACCCAAGAAAGGTAAGATTACCAAGCAAAGGCGAGCACTACGTATGCCTGTGGCGGATAAAAAGAAAAGAACGAAAATGGGGGTGGAAAGAGCGAGATATGCGAGATGAAGAGAGTGAAGGAAGATGGTTCCGAAGGAAGATAGGGACGACGGAATGTACAACAGCTGCCCTTTACTGTGGATTCGTTTTTGAAACCCTGGCGCGTTTAGCGAGAGGTATTAATTCTATAGGAGAGGAAGGGAGATCGACAACAAGAGGAAAAGAGAAATAGAGACGTCTAAGGCAAACTTAGAGAAAGGGAACGGTCGAAAACCGAAAGACGCGGCAGGAGGGAGAGGGAGAACCTCCCCTGCTTGGAATGATAAAACTTGCTGGTAGAGCGACAGCTGTGTAGAAACTTTTTGTCAAGGTAGTTTTAGCTCTTTCTCTCTCTTTCTTCCCTATAATTTTTATTCCTTTCGTTATCTTTTCCTTTTTTCCTTTATGTTTCGCCGATGTTCTAGTCTCACACGTGTTTCTTATCCATGACCTAGGATGATTTATTTCTTATTTATTCTTGATGGGATGGATTATAACTGAAGAAATGAACCCTTGATTCCCGAAGAAAAATTTACTTGCGATAATTTCGATAGTAATAATAAAATAATACAAACAATCGATAATAGATTTTCTACATGCGAAGAATCGATTGTTTTATAGATAATATGACAAAACATTTAAAAAACTGATGAGTCATATGATATATTTATCATTGTAAGAATGCTATATTTATATATAATAATAGGTACTCAATCATCTCTCTCTTACGAATTTTCAATCAATTTAATCATTGCTTTGTTTCGAAATATTTCGAATATTATTCGAAGTTGTATACTCTTGAAAGTCTTGATAGATTTTTATAGATCTTGAAAGTTGATAATTCTCGATTTTTTCGACTAAAAAAATTTGTTTGAATTAAATAAATTTGAGTGTTGTTAAAGGTTAAAGAAAATCTTTGATTTGAACGCCATTTCTTGAAATCAAAAAAATATTTCTTTGGTTTCTTTGATTTCTTGAAATCAAGTAGATTTTTCGTCAAATGTATTTTTACTTTAATTAAAAAAAAATAATTTTTTCAATTTAAACATAATTTTTCTTTTTTGAGTCCCTTAGTTTGTCTTGAATCCCTTAGACTTTTCAAGACATTCAAGACTTCTAAAGACATTTAAGATTGTATGATTTCGAATCATATTCGAATTAATTCGAATTTTTCATGATATATTCGAACTAATTTAAAGCATCTTGATTATTAGCTGTATCGATAATGCATGCAACATTGTGTTTAAAGATCGTTTTTACGACAATAAAATCATCAATGGTATCAGTCTGATTAATTTGCAACAAGCCTGCAATCGACTTGCGACTAATGTAGAACGATCTTTATATACCTAAACGTTAAACGACACTGCGACATCGTTCGCAACACTGCTGCATCACGCTGCAATGTAGATTGCTTGATGATGCATCTCCGCATATCGGAACGCATATCGCAGTATCATAATAGGACATGCGCTCTCTCTTTCGTTTCGCACGCATGAGCATGTACATGTACATACGCACTTGTAAACATCACTCTGTTATACAGCGGAAATACTCAGAATGACGAGTCACGGTTTCAAACGACGTCTACCATCGTGCGGTATTATAACATATATTCTAACGGCTGGACCGCAATACATACTATTTGACGTTGTATCACGTAGCTTATCTACGCGCGTGATTATTTGCTGTACTATTTGGAGAGCGTCTGGCATATACGCGTCGCGAAAGTTAATTTAAGCCGATCCCTTGGGTTTAATCCCTGTATGCTTTTTTCTGCTTCGAATCTCTCGAAATAAAATAAATGTATTATAATTTAAAAATGGTCTCGTCTTTTACGATAAACTCTTGAAATAAGAAGAAAAGAAAAAAAACTTGAGTTTTGTATTCTGTTTTCATTTCTTTAACCGTATGATGCATAGTGCAGCGAAGCAGCGAAAAATAGAATTGAGAAAGAAACTGTGTAATATTCCCCAGTGGCGATCTAAGATACACGATTTGGTATAAATTCAGCTCCCGATTCACCGTGAAACGATCCATAGAAATGTTAAAGGGGATCTTTTTCGAACACCTTAACGCTCATTTCCATAAGTTGCCGAACCTATCGCTAATTTCGCTTTTGATGTCGAGTTTCTTCGACCTCGACTTGTTAACTACGCACAGATATCGCGAGAATTATTCATAGGCGAAGGTAGAAGGTCCCTTTGGCGCCTTTTGTCAGCCGCGCCGCTTTAACCGTTTGTAAATCTCACATCTCTTTTTCTCAGAAACGGAGGCAGAAGTCCGTCGATGGGACACAAAAATTTCTATCCGGTCAAGAGTAAAAGGAGAGATAGAGAGAGAAAGACGCAGGTAAAGGAACTCGCGCTAGAACGGATCGATATCCGCTGTTGCTAGTTGGCCGAATTCGCGACGTCATCATCCATATGACTGGCCCATCCACGTGACTCGTGATACTCTTCTTGGAATCTCCTCCCAAGATTTAATTCAGTTATTTATTTGTATTACGTATCAAGAATAACGTATCTTGTTGTCAAAAATGTTGTATTTCTGTTTTCCTGGATCATATATCGATTATTTCTATTTATTTCGTATTATAAATTCTACATTTATCGCAGAAAACAGAGCAAGTTTGAACTATAATTCCTTAAATTATTAAATATTGTCTGTTTTCATTAATTTTTTATAAAAAATAAAATTTGATGGTAAATAGGTGTAGTTAGAAAATTTAAACACATGCAAATTGATTGAAGTTCCCATAACGATCGGCGACATCAAATGGCCGTATAAATCAATTAAATTAAGTGCTTAATTACGAGAAATGCCACATACGATCATGACGAAAGTGAATATCATTTGATCATAGAATATTTTGTAGATTTGTTTATACCTGAATAATTTCTTTGCCTGCCGTTTTGATAAGACCTACGAGCCGCCGGAAATCCAAAGGATCTCGTAGATTATTCATATAGAAAGAGCTGTCATACCCTCATTGATTTCGCGCAGCTGCATTCATTTAGCGTAAATTTCTACCGCCAGCTGCAACACCGACAAAACGTACAAACCATGAATTGATCTGCGAAAATTTCGCGCATTTTCAACCTTTCTGTCAATACATAATTTTTAAACTTTTCATTATCGTGTTTCGCAATATTTTCGCTAAAAATGTAAAAATGACTAACAAGATTCGCACAAAAATAAAACAATTTTTTTGTTTAAAATTCAATGTATAATAAATATCTAGGTAATCCTGCATTAATAGAAGGATTAAAATTGATAGATATGAAATTACATATATATAATCGATACGTAGAAAACTTCAAAAACATGTCAGTTTTTTTTTATTATAAAATTATATATAGATTCAAATTTTTACTGAGAAATTTACTGTACGAGAATTATTGCCATTTATGTTATAATAATGTTAACTCTAGATATAAACGAAATTGTTCGCCTTTGAAGAAAGAAGGAAATTCTTTGTCTATAAGAAATCGAGAGAATAAATTAATTGTGGTTTAAAAGTAAAGTAGCAAAAGTTTTGCGACCGACATAAAGAGGCGCGAATATATGCTAATTTATGTATTGAACTTTAGCCTTAGCGTTCTTAAGGCGCTGGAGGAGGTCCATCGTGTTTATTAAGGGATGTTAGCTGTTTGGCGCCAAACATTAACAACACGGACACGTGTCGACACACCAGTTAGTTGACGCAGTTAGTTGGCGCCAAATTCAGTGAATTACGTGTTCGTCGACGTACAAAAGGTATATTTTAGTAACGAGTACAATCATCGAGGGGGGTCCCGTGCTGAGAACAGCAACGAGAAGGATGCGATGTGATCCTCCCACGTTGCCGTCCGACAGCTGTCAGTGATTGCAACGAATTTTAAAATTAAGGGTTCGTCGGTACGCGAAATAGAAGACTCACAGGATGAAAAAAGAAGTCGAAAGGAGCGTGAAGATCCCAAAGACAGAGGCTATGGTGAGTGGACCCCACACTCTATTGCATCTTACGCTGTCTAGACGAGAGAAAGAGGAGAGGAAAGGGAGTAGGTACATTGTGACGTCGCCTCTCTCTCTCCGTCCTGCTTTATATTTTCTATCGTTCTCTGTTCTCTTAAGTGCGTTCTTCAGACTTCCCTCTCGCTTCTTTCTCTGTTCCTCTTTTCGTCGCATCTGTCGTTTCGCGTACGTCTCCTTTGCTCTCCGGCATCCTCTGTGCCGCGTTTCGTGACTACATCTTCCTCGCACTTCACTTTCTGTCTTTTTCTGTCCTCGGCGTGCCTTCCGTCCTCGGGCCGGACGGCCCGATCATGCCGTGCTCGTGGCTGACTGGCCTCCTCATGGCCCACGGGATAGAGCGAGAGGTCGATCCTTGTTGCTATGCAGCGACCGCTGCGGAGATCCACGAGAGGAGTGAAAGAGAAAGAGTGAGAAAGAGGTAGTCGCGCCGAAACGAACAGAAGGAGAGCGACCGCTATGATTATTATTCGCGGACCGAATAACCAGTGCGGCCCGCCGGCGAAGAGACCGCGTGTTCCGCCGTTGCTGCTCAATCACCTTTATTTTTATTGCCTCCACCACCATCGCACCACTTTCTCCTACTCCTCGTAGTTCCGTACGTGTATGCACGCGGTTGTATACTCTGGGTCTATAATGTTGTTTTGTCGCGACGTATGAACGTATGCAACTGACACATACTGATGTTGTTCGCTTCAGATCCTTTGTAAAAGTATTGTAGCGCGAATATTATATTTCTATCAAATATGTGATCGTGCCATGTATAATTATGAAACGCAAAATGGTTTTCGCGAATACTGTTAAAAGAAGAAAGAATTTAAAGGAAGAATTTGTTTTTATTACTTATTGCTTCGTATTTTTTTATTATATTTAAATTTTTCTTTTAACAATTGAATATATTTTAGCATGAACAGATTATATATAATAAATATAAATTGATAAGTGAGTAAAAAGTGGCTTATCAAATATAGATAATTCAGATAGATCTATTATAATTATTCATCTCGCCAGAAAAAGATATAATTTTCTTTCGCGACATAAAAAAATGAGTGCGCCACCGGAGAGGATCAAGATAAAGCGACCACCCTATATACATAAATGTGACCGAAATAAGATCATCGGTATTGGAAGAAAGAGAGAGATACGACAGGGAACAGGGACTGGCGTTCAACCGGCACCATACAGTAGATCTCTGGATACCAGGGACCCTCATGACGTAACGTTGTTTACTTTTAAGGCTTCCCTTGGCAACAGGTCGTCTTCCGCGGTTCCAGCGCTAGAGGACGGCGATCTGAAGAGAGAAAGGGAGGCAGAGGAAGAGAGAGAGAGAGAGAGAGAGAGAGAGAAATAAAAAGATAAGAGAAAGAGAGAGGTACAACCTGAATCTTTCAGTTAAGATTTACAAGGTCTCCAAAGTTTCGCGCTTAATTTCTATCTTTCCCTTTTTTTTTCTTTATTTTTTCAAATTTCTGTCGTATTTCTACAAGATATCCAATTATTGCATCAGTCAAATTTTATTTTTTAATATTTTTATTAAAAAAATAATGTTGAGAATGATTCTTTTTTGCGATTAATTATTTATGATTTTTTTATGATTAAATGTTTTTGCATTGATATATTATAAGTGAAACATCAACATTTTATTAATAATTAGTAAATTTATATGTTTAAATATATGTTAAATATATGTTAAATTCTTTTTATCTTGAGATGTTTTTATCATTTTTTTATTTTATGAAAGTATTTTTAACATTGCGATTGCATTTACATTTTTTAATTTGTTATATAAATTTCGACGTATCGAAAAACGATATGTGACTATCCGAAAGTGAAAGCTCGTGGGAGTGTCTATTATAAAAAAATTCTGAACCAACAAGTAGAACCAATATGTTTAAGATTTAAAATTTTGCTATACTGTGTCACGGTCAAAGGACATTCCAACGTGTTATTTATTTGCACATAACAGTGTGAGCAGGCACGCGGTTCTTTTAGCAACACATTAAAATTGTACACATTAGAATGAAGCATTTATTTTTGAATAGCATCTGATAAATCTCTAACCTACCGCAAGTCTTTAAAACTAATAATAGATTTTATTTTTATCTAATCTAATTCATATTTTCCTCAATTTTGTAAATTATTATTAACACATACACACGATTATTTCTCTTATATTTATTTTACTTTAGCTTATTTTAATTATGAGAATTCATTTTTTTTTCAATGTATGTTTATTTTATTTTATTAAAATCATATAAAGAAACTGCAGACTCTGACGAAGTAAATCAATAAATAATAATGTTAAAAGCCGACATAAGATATGATTTTATTATTTTATTTTGTGTTTTTTTTTTAAATTATAATTATAATATGATATGATATATATATAGAGATTTGTAATTTTATTTTATTATCGCTTTTATTATCATCAGTGCGTAATAGTTGTAATAAAGATTCGCGTCTTTCATCGAACGTCTCTTCCTTCTTCGTACAGACTTCTAAATCAAGTGTCTCTTCGTGAAATACTCTTTTCTGTTTCGTTTCCCTCGAATTCCAAATCTCCCTCATCTACGCCCTCCGTTTAACACGATCTAGATAATACGTGGGGTCGCAAAAGATAGGAAATGTGCTCTCGCAGCATGGAGCTTTTCATTTTTTAGCTCTGTTGAAATATAACTTGTTGGAATTTCTTACGCACATTCGTTTTCTTAAATTCATTTAATATAGATGTATTTATTGTTTATTTAATATAATACTCAGATTTTTTAGAAAGAGCTTTTTTTATAATAAATCTTTTTTTCAACAAAGAAGAAATAATTATTAATTTATTATAAAGATTTTATAATAAAAATCTCTTATAAATAAAAGCTAAAATTATTTATATTGCTTAATTGGTATCACTAAAGCGACGATCGAAATTATCGCGCGCAAAGGACATTTCATTTCTTATGTTATATATGTGCACGTCAGTCAGTTTAACGATATTTTATTACATACAATTGAGAACGATTAGTTTCTATACCAGTTGACATTTAGACTCTCGTCGGTTTTACATCCACTTGTAATTACCTTAATCGTTTTATAGATTTGCCGACCGCGCGATTAATTGGACGCGTTGATGAGCGTCACAATACGCTCGAATCTCGTATCGGTCGACTAAATTCACTTGTATATTCGCTTCACGAATCGTCATAAAAGAATTACGAAGCGCGCTTTGCCGTCCGGCAATCCATCGCGGGACGCAATTCGTAGATAATGGTCACGTATGAATACGTATGAATAGAGGAATTGTTCATTCTTGTTGCTACAAGAGGGATACTCTGTGTACTAATGAGGATTGAAACGCGTTCATTTTCCATCGCGACGGTAACATATGTATTTATTTCAAAGGAGATATGAATTTATTATTTTGTGGAAATGCATTTTCATAATATATCATAAATATAACTGAACCTGTGTCTTTTATGTTTTAATTATTTAAATTTGGAAGTTAAGAATATAAAATGCAATGTAAAAAAATATAGATGAAATGTAATTCAGAATTTGCTTTAAAATAAAGGAGAAAAATGTAACAATTAAGAAATAATTATTAAAAAAATGAGCATAACGGTAGATAGCAAATCAAAAATGTTAATCATTATAACTTTAGAATCCTTTTGCGATGTTAAAAAATATGTATAGTAAAATAGATACTTGCAGATTACTTAAATTTAAAGAGCTGTAAATAAAAACAGCATAAATTGCTAATACAATTTTTTAAATTTTGTTTAGAAATCTTAAATTTTTTAACAAAAACATAAAATTTTATCTTCTTTTTATAGAATTTGTTACAAATTTTGTAATTAATCTCTTAGCTTTATAAATTTACGCATATTTTCCTGGTTACCATTTTCTTAAATTTCATCTCTGTGTATTATGTAGCATAATTTCTCCGAGACACGTGAGATCACTCAATCGAATTTGATTTGTAATAACTCTCACTGAATACAGTTTGAATCATTTTATTGTAAAATATTGCACGTATCATAATATGCATTCATGCACGACGCAAAACCGGATTGGATGATAATATTCTTAAGGAAGAGTTATTTAGATAATGACATCTGATACGGATTATATAAGCCAATAGAATCGCGACATAGAAGACGGCATTTTAGCGGTTTTACTGGGCGATGAACGGCCTTGCGCGGAATGCTCGTCAGAATATACACGCAAGTATATACTCGCGCTCCCGTTAGATGTAATTGGAATCCACCGGATGCTACATTCATACTGCATAATCTGCGAATAATCAAAGGCTCATGTAACGTATATAATTGGTCAATGATGCGTAAATAAAACAATTTGCGAGAGAAACAGCAGAAGAAAAGGTTTATTGTTCAGGGGAGGAACATATCTTTTTACAAGCAATTGAGATGTGAAACAATTATTACAAGAATACTTTTTAGAGTACAGTATAATATACATATGTATTAATATACATATGTCTTTGGTTTTTGTCTCGCATATGATTTTTACGCTTGCATTATTTTGATAATTACATACATGTGGTGTTAATACGACACATACATGAATAATTAGTATTAAGTAAAAATAATATTTAATAAATAAGTTATTGGGAATCTAAATATTTTTATTACTTAAATTTTAGACACATGAGAGGCAGAAAAATTTTGAAGTTGATAAATAAAAACTTTACTAACTTTATTAACTTTAAAGTTAATAAATAATTCTCCAGTAACGATTTTAGAAATTATTCGTTCACTTAACACTTTCGTAAGCGGGTACTATCGATTTGTAAAGACATACAGCGTTACGTATCAGGGCGTTAATAGTCGTAATTGGAAACTGTTAGATAAGTACATTGCTCACATCGCACGTAAGCCATAAGTAATGTTAGGAGCCGGCGCTTTGTTGCGAAATAAAACTGGCGTTTGAGCTCGTAATCGCGTCCAACGCTCTCGATAACCTTTACCTGAGTGACGTCCTTCGACAACGTCCGGTTGCTTCGTTCATTCATGAAGTCACTTTCAGCATTACTGAATGAAACATCTAACCTCCTGAATGCGTTCAATAAGTCGGTCAACAGATTCCCGTAGGCGTCATCGCCTTACGCAGCAAGCATGTCTCAAGAGATTGAGAGTTTTCTTAGTTTATCTATACTATCAAAATTATCCCAGTCAAAAGTAGTAGAAGGCAAGGAAACATTTTTTCTAAGACGAGAAAGACTTTTCATCAATTAACACAAATAATATTGCGAAATGAAATGAAATAGCACACGAAGAATTTTAAACTTTAT